AATATTAAAAACCAGTAAATAGCAATTAAAAACAAACTAAGGATACATTGCAGCATTTTCTATTTATGTTCTCAAATTCTAGTGTCACAGAGCATTTATGAGTCTTGAATATGAAGAACTACAGGGCCTTAGTTTCAAGGAAAAAATCTTAACTTCCTTCTATTCCAGTTGGTCAGGCTTATGTCATTCACACCTTTGGTGAAAATCCTGAGACAGTTAAGAATCATACACAACTATAAGGAGGACTTAGAGGCGATAGGAGAAACCACATTTCATTATCCCCTCTCTCATTTTTTGTAGTGTATACTGATTCTTTCCACCATCAGACCTTTACCATTTTCTCACTTTCACTTCTGTCTTGCTATAGCTGACATGTGAACAAATAGCAATCTTTAATAATTCACATAGCATGTGAATGTAATATTTATCATTTACAAAGGCCTCAAGGCTAATTCTTTAATAGTATCAAAGATAAGGTTTTCACATTGCCAGAGACAAGTTCTAGAAAATGACGTACTGATTACTCATGGCCATTTCACACTTGTCATACTATACAAGTTATACCATACGTAAATTAACTTCAATTTGTTTACAAAAGTTAAGTCCATGGATAACACTGTTTTTTCAGTGACTCTCATCCCTGAATATTTAAATCATTTGATATTTTTCAGCTCCCAACTCTTTGTAAAATTAGTTATCTGCTATTGGAACAATTATCTGCACTATTCTTTTTAAAATCCTGCCATGTTAAAAATACATAAAATCCTGCCTTCCACTTATTGAATTAGCACCCTTCATCTCAAATATAAAAATTTGATAAAATTATGGGTGTGTGTGTGTGGATGGACCAAAAAAGCATTAAAACTGGATAAATGATAGAAATTAACTTTTGGAAAATAAATTAAACCCATGACAAATAGAGACTCTCCAGTTTTGTACTATCCCAACTATATGGCAAAGCCTCATCCTTTTCTAACAGACTAATGTGAAAATATAGGAAATTAAATTGCCAAAGAAGCTGAACTAACTCTTTTCAAAGTCAAAGTGCTGACATTATCTGTATAAGGACTCAATTTATGTTTTTACTTAAAGCAGCAGAGAGGGCAAACTTCACTAGTACTGTCATGTTTTATTATTTTAAAATTCCATTGAGAAAAATGTAAATCCAGTTAAACTTTTTTTTTAAGGAATCAGTTACCAAGATGTGTTCTGAATGGAATAGTCAGCACCCCCATTAATACAAACTAGAGGGGAAAAACAAAAACACAAAACCTTTCCAGACTGCTACTATTTAACAAAATACCTGGGCACACAAATTTTCATTTAAAATTGGTACAGAACAATTTGTGTTTTGAACTTCCCTTTGTAAATCATTTCATATATTATGAAAGGGAAGACTAGGACTGTCTTAGAAACATTCCAGTTATCAGAGCCAGAAAGAGCTCAAAAAAGGAGGCAAGAGTTAAGTGGTATCTTTCTCCTTCTACTGCATCACAAAGCACGTAAGTGTGGAATTGCTAAGATGGACTCCTATATTAACCTCTATTAAACACACGTCTATTAAGCACATATATGACACTGTGACTCAAGCTTAATTTTCATTCCCTTGTTTTCTATAAAGGACACCAAATGTTTTGAGATTGAAAAACTTAATTTATTTGCCTCTATGTGAAGCAAATGCATTCGTTTTATGAAGATGACATGCAGTCATAGCTCAAGTGCCAACCTCACTTCCAGTTCCAAAAGACACTGCCACTTAAAATATTTGTTAATTTGATATACATGCCTCACCAATTACTTTAGTGGACCCTTTTATTTAGTGGTACTATTCTACTGCATCTCTTGAAATTTACCTCCTCCTTCACACGCCAGTGCTGTTGTGTTTAGATCGGATTTTCATAATTTCCTCCCTTAAACATTTCATGCTTGGCCCACTACTCTTTCTGTACCAATTTCTCTGTTCTTTGCCAAAATTCCTTTATGCTAGTCTCAGAATTAAGACTTTACACATGGTGACTTACTGAATATTGGATTAAGTCCAAATTCCTAAATCTCGATCTCAAATCTTCCCATTATCTACTGCATATTAATCAAATCTGTCTCTCATTACCCAGCAACCTCAACTCATACAATCATAAAATCTTGTTTGAAATTCACATACTAAAGCTTTCCATTTCCCCTATTTCACAAAAGTTTTTCAATTCCTTATTAATTCAATCACACAGCACTTGATTATATACTTACTTTTACCCAAATTTGAGCTGTCATGTCAGACAGCTCAAAAAAGTCCAAGTTTACTTTCCCTCAAGAATACCTGGCCTTTACTAAGAAGGTAGCAGATGATCAACAGAGTTTTACCACAGGTAGAAGGGACTTTTGGTTGATTAACCATTAGGGTTATTCGTAACAAAACTCAGCCTATTATCGTCTTTCCTAAAGTTCTTTCAATCCAATACTTTTATACAAGAGATTAACCTGTAATGAAAAATTAAGCTCCAGTAACTACTCTCAGTAAACACCATTAATGGCTCTGAGATACTAAAGTAGTGTGAACTTTTTTAAAAAATCAAATCCAAACATACACAGCAAAGTCTATCTATACAATTAGCAATGAACAGGGACTGGCTGTAGTCTTTTGACCCTCAGTTTTTAATGTCTAAAATATTAAGAGTACACCAGTCCCTTCAAGATTATAGTAAGCAGTAAACTGGGAAAAAAGCAAAGGTTTTTTTTTTTTTTTTTTTTTTGGGGGGGGGCTCGAAAATGCTATAAAAGCAGCCACTATTATTATTAGTCCCATTTAATGAGTTTTGTTTTGCTGTCTCTACAGTTACCCTCTAATTCAAAATATCTTTTCAGGAAGATGGGGTTAATGCGTCCTGTTTATGTTTATTCCATATAAAGCAAATGACATCGGACCTATCAATGGTTCTCTAATTTCAGTTAAAAAGTTTGAGGTATAATAAACACTACTTCTGAAAATTCTTTACATCTTCTGAAAATTCTTTAAGCCTCTAAATGTTTATTACATTTTGGTATCTCCGGATACAGAGGTAAGGACAAAATAATTGTATTCTATTAAAACTTCAAACTTCTGGTCTGTGGTTAGATGAAAGATCACGGTAGTGAATGTATCCATTAGTCAACCTACAGAGTTCATTTACACTAAAACACACCTGGGTGTCAACGCGTGAAAAAAATATTTTCTGTGACCACAAACAACATAAAAGGTGGAGGGAGGTAAACCCCTTTTTTCTATTCAAGTAGTTAATGCTCTCCCACATGTTAGCTTGGAATTGGGTGGGAATTTTACATATATTACTTTCTTAAGTGGGCAAGGAGACACTTATCTAGAACTTGATCCCTTTCTCAATGACCAAAAAAATTGTAATTACATTAAAGGAAGGCTATGTGGATGGACAGCAAATGCCCTGCCATTAGCTACCTAAAATTTTTACAAGAAGTGGCTTACTGCCAATATATTACATGACAAAAGTTTTGTTGGGATAATCAATACTCCTTCCATCCAAAAAATGAGCAGGTTCAACTACTCGTAACTATGCTCTAGGTTTGATTTTAAAAAGTCCATTCTTCAAAGGCATTAAAAGTAGCTTTTGGGGGATTTCCTAAAAAGAACAGGAGACTCTAAGAGACCTACTGATTTAACCTTCCGGTTCCAGGCGTCTGAGTTTCAAAAAAAGACAAAATTCATTCCCTCCAGCACACACTTTCAGTGTTTTATGCGCTTCCCTAGTGACAAGAATACCAACATAACAGCCAAAACATTGCCTGGGGATTTTGTTTTCTTCTCAGGATTTCACACTAACTTACTCCCACCGATTGCCACAAACCTTCGGAAATAGAACTCAAACACTGATAAATTTTCTGGTACATTTAAGCCGAGGGCAGGCATCTTGGCGATGTTTACACTCGTCGACCCGGATAATGAACACGTTTGAACCCTCTTTGCTAGGGGACGGACTGTAAGGAATGGAAGAGGGCCCGTAACTTCCAGGTCACATATCGAGTGAGCGAACAGCATATAAACTGACAAGTCATTTTTTAAAACACTGAGCCATGAAATTTTGTTCAGTTACGTAACTTTAAGACAGAAGCGTCCCTGTTTTGTTTTGTTTACCGTAAAAAACCTGTAAAGGAGTGGTCAGTTTTCAGATGCAAGGTCACAGGAAGAAAAGCATTAGAAGTTGAGATAGAAAGAAAAGAAAAACCCAACATGAAGGAGTCAGAAAAATAAGGCGTTAAGGCAGTGCCACATTCATTTTGAAGGGAAAGGAAAGCAGAAGGGACATTAAGGGAAAAGGGCTCCTTGCGTAGTTTTCCCCTCACAGCTCTCGTCTTAAGAACGCTTAAGGGTCGGTGCGGTCGTTGACTAACCACTTCATTGGGCTCGTCCCACCTTCAACCTCAAGGCTTTCGCCTTTATAGACGCAACGCCGCCGGTTCCAACAGAGACGCGGCCGCTCACTGCAATAGAGAGCCAAGGAGACACAGGCCCCAGCTAGTCCCACGCCAGCTTCGCCCCGCCCGGACAACAGCCCCGCGCACTTCCGACCCCGAGACCCTCTACGATGCTCGGGGTCGCCAGAAACGCCACCGGAGGAAGCACCTACCACGCTCCGGCTGGAGGGAAACTCCCTGCCGCCGCCTCCCGCCCCCCCGCGACGGGGACCCACACTTCAGAGATAAGGAAGCCTCAGGGGTGGGGAGAAGGGAGCGCGCACCGTGGGGGGAAAGCGGACCCAGGAGTCCAGGTACCAGTCAGTCTCCAGAGGGGGGAGGGGGTGGCGGGTGGTGTTTGGGAAGGAGTGGAACCCAGAAGCCATCTTGGGAGGTGAGGAAGCCACCGCGATGGCTCCAGAGGCTTCTCCCCGCGGGCCCCCGCAGGACTCCCCGCAACCCCACCCCCGACCGCGCTGCTCCCCGTGAAAGCCCGAGCATCGGGCCGCCGCCGAAGACGGCTCCCGCGGCTTTGTACTCACTCTGCCCTCGAAGTTGTTCTCCTCGATATCACTCATGGCGGTCAGGCGCTCCCCAGAACTAAATAAGAGACAAGTGTCGGCTTGAGGGCCGAAGGCCTAATCGACCGCTGACTGGACCGTGCGGGGGGAGGAAAGAGTCGGCAACAACGGCCGCTCCGCTCCACTCCCACTCGGTCGCGGGTCCGGCAAAATGGCGCCGGCTACGCCAGGAGCCTTTGGGCCTCCCTAGTGCGCGACGTAAGGGGGCGGGACGTCTCTGTGACGTCACGAGACCCGCCTCCCACAAGGCTTTGTGGCGTCCCGGGCTGAGCCCGCGGGGCGGCACGTGCTCCCGAATGCGCGCCTTGGAACCCGGTGCCTGGCTGCGGTTTCTGAGCGTCAGACTGCTTTCTACTCCGTCAGTCCTTTCGAAGATTTTCAGTCACCAGGTGACCTTGTTTTGGCCCTTCGCCCCTGTAAGTGTTTCCCAAGTGGATTCTGATGGAACAGGAAAAAAAAACCTGGAAGCGTTACCATGACTGAGATAATTAATATTGTAATTGATAAAATTACGAGACATTGGGGAGATATTTTCAGCAGGCTATTGCTTTTGTTCAGTGTGTGCCTCTTGTAATGCTATAGCATGTATAGATGGGGTTCTGAAAGAAGAACGGTTCCTTGCCTTCTCTTTGCTTCCAGTAACACCTTAGAGACAATTGCCAATTTTATTTTTTTGTAATGCGTTACTCCCTATTATTCTTTTTCATTTAGTTGTCTGTTTTTTCTACAGCTTTGCAATCAGTACCTCCAAATGAATATACTTGGTTCTCAATCATGCTAATTTGTAAAGTGACTTCGAACTTTTTTTTTCAAGATTTATTTATTTATGCATACAAGAGCTGAGGTACAGGCCAGAGGTGTGGGAGGTGAGAGGATTCACCAGAGACAGAGTGGGGAACAGAACAGGCGGATTGCCTGAAATACACTGCTGAGGGGAGCAGCGGGCGAGTCAGGAGAGGTTTGCTGAGCCATGTGGATACCTCCCTGGCAAGGGTATTGAACTCGTGCTGCAGTGGCTGGGGACAGCTTCATAGGTTGCCACCAGGGAAGTCCCAGAATCTTTCATATGTTTAAATATGTCTTTCTTGTGTGTTGTCTGTTCATATCCCACCCCCCATTTTTCTATCGGATTTTTATCCTTTGCTCCTCATTTTTTTTTTTTTAATTAATTTATTTATTTTTGTTTGTTTGTTTGTTTTGTTTATACATGCACTGGGTACAGTCAGAAGCGCGGGAGGGTGAGAGAATTCACCAGAGCCAGAGCGGGGAGCAGAGCAAGCAGAAGGACCGAAGTACACTGCTGAGGGGAGCAGCGGGCGGCAGGAGAGGTCTGCGCGCCATGTGGGATCCTCCGCCGGTGGCCGGGGAGCAGCCGGGGATCGAACCGGCGCCGCAGAGGCCGCGGGCAGCTTCGCAACCCAGTGCTCAACCGCTGCGCCACCGGGGAGGCCCTGCTCCTCATTTTTAAGAGTTCTTTATGTATTTGGAATATTAGACTTTTATTTGTGAGGTGTATAGTACAAGTATTTTCTCCTACTTTGGTTTATGGTATTTTTACATGCTGTTTTTTTTAATACAGTTAAATTCCTTTATTAAAAAAACTTGAATTTTGAGTCATAGTTAGAAAACTTTTAGCCATCAGAAGTAGGTAATTTGGAGGGTCATTTCTCTGTTGAAAGTCTTAAACGTTGGAACACTAGATGTCCAGTGAAAACCATTTGCTCCTGAGGGAGAAACTGGGAGTAGCAAGTCCCCTCCTTATATTATGGTACTGTACCAGGGGTGGGGTTTATGGCAATAAAGTGTCTCAACTTTTCCTACCCATTTCAGTGTGGGTATTTTCTCATTTGTCTGATGTGTAGGAATCAATCAGCCAGTTTTTGGATTTCTCTCGGGGGGTTGCTCCAGGTAGAGCTGTATATCAGATGCATCCACGGGCAGAGGGGAATTCAGCAGCCTCTTATGTCACCATTTTGGTCCTTCCCTCCTCTTTCCTCTTTCTGTAACTTCACATTGTTCTACCTTTAACCTCACTTACCTTCCTATTTCACCAGAAAAACAGAAGACAATTTCCACAAACTCCCAGCAACTAACCTATTCACCCTCCAGCTATTCTACCAACTACTGATTGTTTCCTCATACTATTGCTATTATCCATTTCCTGAAGCAGGACCAGTAGGCGTGGTAGGATGGAAGCTGCTTGACCTGATCACAAGGCTAATAACATTTAAAGAAGCTTGTGAGCTAATTATGAAACCATGGGTAACCAAGAGTCAGCCACATGGTAATATTTACACTATGGAAATCAGCAAAAGTTGATAGTGCTCTTCCTCTCTCTCTTCCAGGGGTGTCTAACATTTACCCCTTTGTCCACACATCCAATATGCCTTAGGCCATACATAAACACACACACACATACACACTCAATACAATATGTGAATGTTTTTCACTTAAAATTTTTCTATAAATGATTTAATATTGTATCTTTTCTGATATAATTTTCCCTCCACAACATTGTGTTTGTGAGATGCATTCGGATTGATATAAATATAAGATGCATATAAAAATATACACTACAGATTTTCATTAGTTTTATCCTCTACTGTATTTCTAGGACTCGAAACAGTGCCTGGAGAAAGTAGGCTCAGTATGTATTTATTTGGTGGAACAAATGGGGTGTGTCTGAAATTCTACCTCTGCCACGTCTCTGAATTGACATGTTGCTCAGCTATTTGGGAACTTAATAGATCTTAGCACATTGACTAATTTTGGTCTTCAAACCTTATGAAGGAATTCATTTTGCATAACTTTCCAACCAGAGGAGGGCAATCTTGGCGGGAAGAATAGCTAAAATGCAAATCAGTCATATGTGGAACCCTGCCTGGTTTGGAGATTCACAGCCACCAGGTGGCAGTATAAGCTTGCTGAAAACCCAAGCCAGGGTTCTGGACTAGGTGTCTCAATGCATATGGGTGGCCCCAAACATAAATGTTTCCATCTTTTGTTTTTGGTCAACTCATCTTTTTTTTTTTTTTAAACATAATTTTTAAAAAAGATTTATTTATGTATGCATACAAGAACTGGGGCACAGGCCAGAGGTGTGAGGGGTGAGAGGATTCACCAGAGTCAGAGTAGGGAACAGAACGGGCAGACTGACTGAAATACACTTATGAGGGGAGCAGTGGCGAGTCAGGAGAGGTCTGCTGTGCCATATGGGTAGCTCCCTGGCTGGGGATCGCACTCATGTTGCAGTGGCTGCGAATTGCTTCCTAGGTTGTGTCTTAACCCCTTGTGCCACCAGGAAGGCCCTGTCAACTCATCTTTTATTGACATTAGTTTTCTTCATTTTTATATAAGTTGCTGCTTATATTTTACTTTTATTTGACAATACTAAGTTTAAAATGTTGCAACAAAAGAGATCAAATAATTTTTATAAATGGTATTTTTTACTGAGGTAACTTTTGTATAGGTTCACCATGCTCATCACCAAAGCCCCATTAGTCCATTGCGTCCTCTTTCCTATTTATTCCTCATTTCCTTACCCTCCCTCTTGGTAGCCTCAGTTACACAGTCAGAGATCTAGGGTTCGTTTAGTGTTGTCTGTTCCTTTGGATTTTTTTTTTTTTATATTCCACTTATGAGTGAAATTATCTGGTGTTTGTCTTCCTGACTTATTTCTCTTAACATAATAAAAGATAGATATTATCGTTTATGGATAGAATTCCAGTTCTGTGTCATTGCAAATGCCAAGATTTCATCTTTTTCTTCTGTTTTATAGTTGAGTAGAATTCCAGTTGTGTATATATGCCACATCTTGTTTTCTTTATCTACTCATCTGTCCTTGGACACTTAGGTTGTCTCCATATCTTGACTAGTTCATATATCCCTTAAATTACTATTTTTTGCATTCTTTGGATAGATACCTAGGTGTGGAATTGCTGGATAGTGTGGTAGGTCTAAATTTAATTATTTGTGAGAGCTCCTCCTGTTTTCCACAAGGGTTGGAACAATGGTGTACGAGGGTTCCTTTTTCTCTAAATCCTTGCCAACATTTGTTGTAAAAATTTAATTTTTTTGTTAATAGAGGTAATGTTAGTTTACATCATTGTTTAGAACTACAGGATCTTTCCCACCCCCCTTCAAATGTTACTCCCACAGTGCACCCATCCCCAAGCAGCTGTATAGTTCACCACTGTAGTCCACTGTGCTTCCTCTCTACTTTGTTCTCACTCCTAACCACCTTCTCCCTCTGGATTCTTCAGTTCTATAGTCAGCTTTCAAGGGTTAGTTTTTAAGTTTGGCTTTATCCAATCCTTTGAAAAACTATTTTAAATTGAGGTAAAATTCTCATGACAAAAAAAGAGTACCATTTAAACTATTTAAAAGTATACAATTCAGTGAGTTTTAGAATTGATAAATTTACAACGTTGTGCAACCATCAGTAGTACCTACTTCCAGAATATTTGTATTGCTTCCAAAAGAAAGCCTATACCTAGTAAGTAGTTTACCTCCATCCTCTAATAATCACTAATATATTTTCTGTCTCTATGGATTGGACTATGCTGGGCAATTCACATAAATGGAATTATACAGTATGGCAGTATAGATTTTAAAGATTTATTTATTTATGCATATAAGAACTGGGTATAAGCCAGAGGTTCAGGGAGTGAGAGGATTCATCAGAGAAAGTGGGGAGCAGAACAGGAAGATCTGCTGAAATATACTGCTGAGGGGAGCAGTGAGCGAGACAGGAGAGTTCTGTTGCGCCTGTCTGGCCTGGGATGGAACTCTTGCTGCAGTGGCTGGCGATAGTTTGATAGCTCTCTTTAACCCCTGCACCACCAGGGAGTCCCCTGGTAGTATAGATTTTTAATGGCAAGATTTGTATATAGTATCAAGATAATTCTATGTTTTAAAATTTCCATTGAAAATATTAACATTATCTAGAGATAGAAAATTTATACAGTTTTTATTTATTTATTTATTTATTTATTTATTTATTTATTTATGCAAGCACTGGGTACAGTCAGAAGCGCTGGAAGGTGAGAGACTTCACCAGAGCCAGAGCGGGGAACAGAACAGGCAGATGGACCTAAATACACTGCTGAGGGGAGCAGCGGGCGTGGCAGGAGAGGTCTGCGCGCCATGTGGGACCCTCACTGGCGGTCGGGAATCAAACTGGTGCTGCAGAGGCTGCGGGCAGCTTCGCAGCCCAGCGCTCAACTGCTGTGCCACCAGGGGAGGCCCGAAAATTTATACAGTTTTAGTACAATTAGTAATTGAAACTTGATTTGATAATTTATAAGTTTCAAGGACTACTCCACTTTGTTTTCTGTGCCTTCTTGGTCAGTCATGCTCCTTGTTTTTTTAAATTTCAATGAAATAGAGACTGAAAGTTGGAAGCAGCAAAAACTGA